TCCCTGGTGATGCTGCTAGCCCAGGAACCTCACTTTGGGAACCCACTTAGGCTTCCATCTAGGGTTCTATGTTTATAAATAAACCACATTTCAGTTCTGAAAATGTCAACGAATAAAGAATAGATTCCTCTAGCTCAGAACACAGAGTAATCCCTCTCCCCGGCGGTTTGAGAGGACTGAACAAAGCAAACATGTCCAGGGAAGCTAAATTATCTAGCTTCCATTCCACCAACAGGGCCATGGCAGAGGGACATGAAATCAGTAATGGTCAGAGTCTGGTGAATCTCAACAAGTAATTCTTCCTAGAGGAGGTGACTTTGTGCAAGGCTTTCTAGAGAGCTGAAGTGCAGAGGTTTAAGCTGGGTAGAGCATCCTGAAATCACCAGGCCCAGTGCCCAAAGGACAACACTGTTGGATGTCATTTTAAGGCCTACCACAATTTACCCCTACTTTACAAATTCAGCTGATCATTGATGAGTGCCTGGCAAGGACATGGTGCCCCAGCATAGACCCCTGCACCTGACTCCATCCCTTTATTCATGCTGTTCCCTTGTCCAGAGTACCCTTCCTGGTCCTCTCCTCCTCTTGTCAGCCCCATCTGTCCACTGGGACCAAGGTGAAACCTGTCTATTCTCCCTGAGAACTTAACATCTGCTCAGCCTATACTGAATATCTTTTTTTGCCTATCTCAGCCATTGGGACACTTGATCATCATCATCTAATTTTTTTTCATTCATTGATTTATTCATTCAACAAACATTGCCCTTCCTTCAACAAATCCTTATTGGAGGTCCTATAATGTGTTGTGGCTTTATGGTAGGTTTCGGGAATAGAAGCATAGATAAAAACAGACCTGATTCCTGCTCTATTAGAGAAAGATCCATTGGTCAAATAATTGCCCTCTTGGAAGTACAATTACAAACTGAGAAGAGTAGTCCAGAGGAAGGGAATGTGGTTTTATGAGAATGTATAAGAAAGGAAGCTGATGGAGACTTGGGAATTGGAGTCAGGGTGGACTTTCTGAGAAAGAATTGTTTCAGCTAAGATCTGAAAAATGCAAGATGTGAGGGAGGGGAAGAGCTCTCCAAATCGGGGCAACAGCATGTGCAAAGGTCCAGGGGTGGGAGGGAGCATAGCAGGTTCAAGGAACTGAGAGCAGACCGGCAGGCCTGGGGTGGAGAGAACGGCAGGGGGTAAAGAGCAAGGTGAAAAGGGATACAGTGGGGAGCTGGAGACAGCCTGCTTACAGCCCTGTCAGCCTGGTTGGTGGTTTTGATTTTTAACCTAAGAGCACTAGGATGCCATCAAAGGTTTTAAACAGTGGGATGATGGGATCAGAGTTACATTTTGGAAAGTTGTTTCTGCTGCTTGTCTGGAGAATGGACAAGAGTGGGGGCAGGGAGGCAAGTTGGGAGACTGCTAGAATAGTCTAGAAAACAGATACGGTGTCTTGCATGGCATGATAGTAGTGGGACCAGAGAAAAGTAGATGGAGTTAAGAAAGTATTAGGAGGTAAACCGATAGGATATGGTGGTTGGTTAAGGGAGAGGGGGGAGTCAAGGGCAAAGGAATATGGTCTAATGAGGACATATAAGAAGGGAACTTGATGTAGACATGGGGTTTCAGTCATGGCGAACTTTCTGAGAATGCGTAGTTTGAGCTGAGATCTGAAGGATATCCAGTAGTACTTGGCTAGATGTAGAGGGGGTAAGGAGGGAAAGAGCTCTCCAAATAGGGCAAGCAGCATGTACAAAGGACCTGTGGTAGAAGGGAGCATGGCAGGTTCAAGGAAAGAGCTCATTGAGACAGCATCCCGTTTAGGGGAGATGATGTTGTGTTGCCTTTGAACATGGAAGTGGTGACATGGAGCAGGCAGGTGGCCAGGAGCTCAGACCATGTGAGCTGGGGCTGGTCATTGGGAGGGATGGGTGGTGGATGAAGCTGTCAAGGGAGAAAGTATGTGTGAGGAAAGGAGAGGACGTCTCCTCAGACTGGGTCATAAGCGCCTGAGGGGCAGAGC